GAAAGGTGAGGGATAGAGAGTTAGAAACATCGATGAGAGAGAAACATTAATCAGCTGCCTCCTGCACACTCCCTACTGGGGATGTGCCTGCAATCCAGGTACATGCCCTTGATCGGAATCAAACCTTGGACCATTGAGTCCACAGGCCAACGCTCTATCCACTGAGCCAAACCGGTTAGGGCAAAAATATATTTTTAAAAATTACATGCAAATACACAAATGGGACATTTTAACCAACACTTTAACTGGAATATTGTATAGCATATGTACTATAAATCATCATAATCTGTTTTTTTTTGTTGTTTTTTTTTTACTGTTAGGTTATACAGATCCTGTTATTTAAGGTCATTCATAACCATTTGGCCTATAAAACTTATTAATAAGCTGTTAGTTATTTGCTTGTCTTTGATCAAGTTGTGAATTTGGGCATGTACAATATAGCCCTTCCCAGATAAGTGCATATATTGTTGTTTTATTACCCATTCATGTATTCATTTGTACAATAAAGTTTACTAATCAAGGAAATAATAAACATTTGTCTAGAGCCTATTTTATTTCAGTGTGATAGCACTGAAATACTTTAGTCTGTTGCTCCATGGAATTTACATTCTATTATAGTTTGGGGAAATAGAGAATAAGTGCAATAGTTTGCAGTAGATTGTGTTCATTGTAATAATTAAAGTATGAGGTATGATATTTCAGCAATATAAGTTAAGTTTTTATATATAAATATGTAATTATTTTTATAGACCAGTGGTCCCCAACCTTTTTTTGGCCATGCCCCATCTAACTATTTCTAAAATCCTGATGCCCTCCCTGTTACATAAAATTCTTATTCAAAAAGTGAACTTCTGTTCACTTGGAAGAAACCTAAAAGGCCATTAACTTGGTCTAAACAAGCTTCCAGAGAACATGGCATCCATGAAAGAGAAAAATAAAAGAATGAAAGGACAGTTGAAAGTACTGAGGAAGAAATCACTGAGAAATAGCTAAAAAAACAAACAAACATGAAGTGATATGAAAAAATAGCAAATAAAGTTTCAAAACATAATAGAGAACTGAAATGCACAAATATATCACAATATATATTTATATTCTGTATGTGAGGCTCCTAGAACCATAAGAAATGCAAAAAATTTACTGTTAATAACTCATTCTTGAATTGCTTCCCTTAAAAAGCAAATTGTCCTCTTTTGGGGCATGTGCCCTACATTGGGAACCACTGTTCTAGACTGATTTTAGTCTTTGACTCTGTGCCTCTAACTCAGAAAACTGGGGAACGTACTTAGATGATGTTCGAAATGTTGTGGGATATTTTTTGTTGTCATAGTAACTGGTGTTGCTGCTAGCATTTAGTAATCTGGGACCAGGGCTTCTAACCATCCTGTGGTAATAAATGGGGCAGTGCTATCCAGTGGAGAATTGGCCCACCCAAATGCCACGTGCACTTGTTGAGAAACACTGACTAACCTGGTTCACAGGAGGCGAATTCTGGTACGTTTAAATCCAGGATTACTAATCATTGCTTAGTGCTTCAAATCTCTTCTGCTTATTTTTTTTCTATTAGATTTAGGTACTAATTTAAATACTTATTCTATTGACCTGAGTATTTTATTACATCATAGTCTTTGTCTTTTTGAGAATGGGGTCAGTGTTTCCAGGTGTGTTTTTTTTTTTTTTTTTTTAATCAATTTTGTGTTGTGGTGTATGTGACATTCGATTTTCACGTAGTTCTCTGGCCTAGGTGATTCTACAGAAATGCATCCTCTACCTGTGTCTCATTTCCTCTCCATTCTAGGTAGTTCTTGGCAAGTCATCTACTTTTCTAACTTCTGTGCCTTTTTCTAATCCCATTGGAAACATAAAGGATCCACCCCACCCTCTTGTTAGGCCCATGGGGTATTGGGAAGGATGGATATTCTTGAGTCTTTCTGTTTAACTGCATTATGCTGCTCCCTATCTTAGTTTTTAAAAAAGATATCTTTGTGGGATTCTTTTTGTATCATTTTCTTTTCTTCATTTTTGCTTGTGGTTATTTTGCCAAAGCACAAGTCCTCTTTTCACTTCTAAAAGTTCCCAACTGTATTAGTTTCCTAAGGCTGCTGTACAGGATATCAGTAACTGAGTGTCTAAACAACCGAAATTTATTGTGTTAAATTCTATAGGGTAGAATTCTGACATTGAAGTAATGACAGAGTTAGTTCCTTCTGAGGGCTGTGAGGGAAGGATCTGTTCCATGTGTTTCTGCTTGACATGTAGATGGCTGTCTTTATATTCATGTTATTCTCTCTGTATATGTGTATTGTGTCCAACTTTTTCCTATTATAAGGTAACCAGTCATATTGGATTAGGAGCCCACCCTAAGACCTCATTTTAATTTGATTACCTCTGTAAAGACCCTGTCTCCAAATGAGGTCACATTCTGAAGAATTGGGGATTAAGACTTCAACATATTTATTTGGTGCAGGCACAATGCAACTTGTAACATCAACTTAATATTATTTTTCTTCCATACTTTTAAATACAGAAGACAATCTCAAAATAAATATCCCAATCTAACATCTAAAAATTACATAAAATATAAAAAGTGAGAGAAAAAGGCCCTATTTCTATCCTCTGTCATACTCCAGTTTATTTTACTTTTCCATGTTAGTCAGTACAAACAGAACTATCTCATTCTTTTTATATCCTGACTAGTACAAACCGAATGATCTCATTCTTTTATACAGGCTGAATTCCATTTTATGATTATACTCAGTTTAATTGTTCCAGTATAGTTTGGGTTATTTATAACTTTTGGTTATTACAAGCTGTATATAGATAATTTTTGTGTACATCTCTTTATACATGTAGAAGTTCTTAGTAGGCCATATCTTTAAAATTGCATGTGTTGGGTCAAAAGGAATGAACACTTAAACATTTTAGAGATATTGTTAAATTAACATACCAATTTATACTATCACTAACAGGATATGAAAGATATAGTTTATCTTTTCTTTGTACCCTCATCACTACTGGATAATATCAGGGTTTTTTTTTTTAAAAAATCTTTGCTTGTACAGTAGGAAAAAATATGTCATTTAAAAATGTTTATTGTTATGAGTGATACTTAATCTGTCTATATCTGTTGACCATTTAATATATTTTTCTGTGAATTTACTTGTGTGAGTTCTTTGCATCTTTTTCCTTAAAGCTATGTGTATTTTTATTAGTTTATTGAAGCTTTTAATATATAATGAATCTTAGCTCTTTGTTATATATGGCACAAATATATTTTTTTAAATATTTTATTGATTTTTTACAGAGAGGAAGGGAGAGATATAGAGAGCTAGAAACATCAACCAGTTGCCTCTTGCACATCCCCTACTGGGAATGTGTCCGCAACTCAGGTACATGCCCTTGACTGGAATCGAACCTGGGACCTTTCAGTCTGCAGACCGATGCTCTACCACTGAGCCAAACCGGTTTTGGTATGGCACAAATATTTTATCCAGTTATTATTTTTTTGATGCTATTATTAATGGATTTGTTTTCATAATTTCCTTTTCAGATTGTTCATTATTAGTATATAGAAACGCAACTGATTTTTTTTGTTGTTGTTGGACATACGTTTTAATTTCTATGATATTATACATATATTTAGGAATATAAATGCTGGATCATGGAATATGAATATATTCAGATATTATGGATACCAATCCATAATGGTCATACCAATTTACACTCCTGCCATTAATACATGAGAATTTCAGTTGCTCCACATCCTTATTAATACATACTTGGTTATTTTTTTTTTTCATTTTAATCATTATATTGGTGTGTGATGATTTTAATTTGAATTTCCCTAATGACAAATGATTTCAGGCATCTTTTTGTGAATTTATTGGCCATTCAAATATCCTCTTTTTGATGTATTTGTTCAAGTTTATTTATTTTGATTTTTTTCTTTATTGATTAAGGTATTACATATGTGTCCTTCTTTCTTTGTCTCCCCCCCTCCCCCCCAAATCTCCCCACTCATGCCCTCACCCCCCTGGTGTCTGTGTCCATTGGTTAGGCTTGTATGCATGCATACAAGCCTTTCCAGACGTTTGACTTCCTTCCGGACAAAGCTATGGTGGTGGGGGCCGAGACAGAGGCAGGAGTGGTCAGGCAGACAGGTAGGGATGAGATCAGGCCGGCAGAGGAGGGCAGTTGGAGGCAATCAGGCAGGCAGAGGCAGTTAGGGGCGATCAGGCTGGCAGTGGAGAGCAGTTAAGGACATAATCAGGCTGGCAGGGGAGGGCAGTTAGGGTGATCAGGCAGGCAGGTGAGTGGTTAGGAGCCAATCCCGGATTGGGAGGGGGATGTCCCCCAAGGGCGGGTGCAGATTGGAGAGGGTGCAGGCCGGGCTGAGGACCCCTCCCCCTCCATGCGTGAATTTCATGCACCAGGCCTCTAGTAGATACGTATTGGCCATAAAAACTATTATAGAATTTACTCTATTGAGAACAGCTTTCTGCTTGTATGAAGCTTTCTGGGATATGTAACTCATGAGTTCTGAAGAAAATAAATCTTCACAGGGAGCTAAGGAGATTCTTTTGCCTGGTGTGGAACGGAAAAAGAAGTAAGATTATCAAGAGTCAAGCCTGGAAGGTGAAATAAGGTGCTAGATATGATTATTATTCCTCACATAAGGGTAGTAAAAAACAGAAGGTAAAACCCAGAATTCCTAGTCTTCGTTTATTTCACCTTGCTATGTTACCTTTCCAAATAGAAATAGCATATGTAACTATTTATTTTTAGATTTTTATTTTTAAGCCAAAATTCACTTTCCTTACTTCTAGCAGACATGTAATCTCACACTCTTGCTTTTGAATTGGGTCATGTGCTCAACTGCATTTTCCTTTTATGTTTTTAGTGTTGTAACAAGGTTTCCTATTAGTCAGTGTTGGTCAGTACTGGTTTACTCCCTTTCTACTGTGATCCTAAGTAAATTTATTATGTTCTTTTTCCTACAGGTTTTCTGTGCTTCCTGCTGTAGCCTGAAATGTAAATTGTTGTACATGGATAGAAAGGAAGCTAGAGTATGTGTAATCTGCCACTCAGTGCTAATGAATGGTAAGTATCAAAACAAGTTAAATTCACAGTTATTGAGAACAAGAGAATTTTTGTTGCCTTTCTCTACATGTTGTTTAGCTTCTGAAATGTCATAACTTTAATTGAAAATATTGAGCTAAATTTCCATGTTTTAAAAATATTTTAGCATTTCAGAATTCCTGTACCTAATGTAATGAATGAATGCTAAGATCAGGTAAGTTTTGCAGAAAGAATGGAAGTTCTTTTGAAAATCTGGTGCTAAATGGCTATTAATATTCTGTGAAATGATTGGAGTGGTATAGGGGTAGAGGACTCTTGACCACTTAGATGTGAAATACTAAAGTTGGACTGAGGTTTTTCTTTCAAGGGACGCTATCTCTTTCTAGGAAATACCTTAATAACATATTAACATCTTGTTTCATTCACCTTGTTAAAAATAAACTTTTTAGCTTCTAGGATCAAATAGAAAATTGTATTTCTGTATTATTTCCTTAAGACTACTTAGATTTGTTACAAGGATAATGGTTTTTTTTTTTTTAAATATATTTTTATTGATTTTGTACAGAGAGAAGGGAGAGAGATAGAGAGTTAGAAACATCGATGAGAGAGAGTCATCGATCAGCTGCCTCTTGCACACCCCCTACTGGGGATATGCCCGCAACCAAGGTACATGCCCTTGACCGGAATCAAACCCGGGACCTTTCAGTCCCCAAGCTGACGCTCTATCCATTGAGCCAAACCAGTTTCGGCAAGGATAATGGTTTTGAGTTTAGTTATATGGTAAAATATATATGGACAGGAGAAGATAAATATAGCTTATCCAGTGTTCCTTTGTTGCAGGATTGGAAATGAACCCAAGGCATTTTAGTTAAACAAACAAACAAAAGCCACTGGAGTATTCTCTTAAAGAGATATATAATTGATTAGGCTATAGTATTTTCCTCTTTGAGTGCATCTTTGTACAGTTGTCAAAACAATTACTAATAGACATAAAATGTTGAACTTGGATACCACTGCTGCCTGTGCCAGGATAGTGTGCCTCCTGGAAGCCAAAACTTACCTGCTCGAGTCCCCTCTTGCTCTGTCTGTCTGTGTTGCTCATAGTGATGTTTCCATGTTGCTGGCTTATTAACATATTGCATGTCAGTTAATCTGATCTGTTCTAATCTCCGATGGGCTACCCAATTTCCTCCCATTTCTGAATTCTTATAATTTTGATCAAATATGAATTCATTCTCTTTACTCTTAAAGGTCATTTTTTAAATGGTTATTTCACTCTGTTGCTCAATTGGTAATTTTGATTCTTGCTTTCATTTTCGGACATATATCCACAGTTAAGAGCATGCTTACAGTACCCAATACCACTTGTATTTGATGAGGTCTTCCAACTTGATAGCTTTTTTCTTTTTTAATTTGGCAAAGCTAAAGATGAAGGAAATGGCAGAGGATTCATATGGACTACTTACTTTTATTCAGCAAAGATGCCCTTAATGGGATCCTAAAATAAAAAAATTAACTTTTCCTGGTTTTTCCAGTATCTTTTTTCTCGCATGGCTTAGCCCAGTCTTTTACGGAATATTTAATTTGATGCTTTTCAGTGTTCCCTGTCCCTTTTTCCTTTTCTCTTCCCTTTTTTCTGCTTTCAAAGGAACATAACTGTTGTTTCCAGCCTTGTCCTGCAGTTTGGAGGCAATAACTATTCAGAATCTTATGGATCATTCTTGGACATTGAATGAGATTTTTAAAAAGATGTTAAAAAAATTGGGTGGTGTCTATTCCTGGGCATGTGATATAACCTGAACCTGGAATATAAAATTTGAAATCTTTCACTTCTGTAGCATCTTTCATCCTACTTACTTTAAAGTCGATATCTCAGTATTTAAATTATAGACTGATAAAATACAGTATTTTAACATACTGTGAGCACATATATTTATTGATGGCACTTATAGGATATTGGCACATTTTCATGTTCAAATGGAAACTGCTCTTGAGACACACCAAAGATGTGAAATGGTTGTTTTTGCTGGATGCTTTTATTCAGAGTGATCATTGCACAAAAGCAGAATCCACATAAGTGTTGAGATGCATTCACCTGAGCTTTAGGCTTCAGAATTTTTTAAACGAGATTTTACCTTAACTAAAAGAAGAACCTAAAAGTCTAGAGATGACAAAGAAAATATTATACAAATAGAATCATGTTATTTTATAATAGCTCCTGGTTTTTATTTTTGCTAGAACTTTATAAAATGTATTGAACATTAAACCTTCCCACCCTTCCTCCAGATGCCTAAGTGCTATCCCCGTTGCAAATCCTTAATAAGTTTAATGTTGTTTCACTCCCTCTTAAGGGAATGTGTGGTCTCCTTTACAGAAGTCAGGGGCCTAGTCATTAACCTCAGACTGACCTATCAGTCTGTATTAGAAGTATCATGCAATTCTTATTTCTTGCTTCCAAATAGCTTACTTAACTAAATGATCTCCTTTATTGACTAAACTTACTTATCTCCTTAATACTACTTCACTAGCCAGCTAGAAGAGAGACATACTATGAGTGTTAATGAGGAGGAGCTACATTATTTATCCAATATTTGGAGGTCTTGATGTCCATATTTTGCAATCCATTCACATTGATTGTGTCTGTATTTGCTTTAGCTCAAGCCTGGGAGAACATGATGAGTGCCTCAAGCCAGAGCCCTAACCCTAACAATCCTGCTGAATACTGTTCTACTATCCCTCCCTTGCAGCAAGCTCAGGCCTCAGGAGCCCTGAGCTCTCCACCTCCCACTGTGATGGTACCTGTGGGAGTTTTAAAGCACCCTGGAACAGAAGGTAGGGGATCATGTGCTGTTCTCTCTTTTTCCTCACCAAGTTCCTCTGAAAAGGTGCTGATATGACTTTACAGCACAAGTCTTTACAGATAAGTCCCTTTGGATGGTTATTAAAGTGGAAGAACAAGGTGAGAAATGTGTTGAGACTATTTCCAGGCAAGTAAAGAATAATATTGTGTTGTCTATTTTGGAGGCATCTCTAAAATATGTCAGTGTTCTCTTTAATTTTAGAATGGAGCAATTACATTGCTTATATTTGAAAAGAGATGCAGATTTTGAAGTCTGCCTGTAAAATCCTAACCTCATGTCTACTTTAATGTTCTTTTATAGGAGTTAAATAAGTGATGAAAATGAGAGTTCTTTCTTATGACCAGCCCATTACTTTTTGACATATATAGAGCCATTTTCTCTTCATTTTTAATCTATTCATATAAAAATATGGAAATATTGTGTTAGGTACATAGATCTTTATAAAATTCAGAACTTTAATTCTGATTATATCATATGGTAGATAGGAAATTATAGGCTAAACTTATTTTAATTATATCTTTATGATATTGTCAGATGAAAGGAACTTTGTAAATTTAGGGGATTGATTATCAGTAGTAAAAGTAAAAATTCCATATTTCCTTAAAATGATTTTATTAGGAAGTTTCCCTTGATAATTAAAATCAATCCTCTTACATTAATTTATTTTTGTCTAGTAGTATTCCCTTCCCCTTGCTATTCCCTTCCCCTTGCTATTGTCCTTCTCCTTTTTTGAAGAACAAAGACTTCTATTGACATTATCATACTCTTCCCCATTTTCCCCTTTCTTCAGATCATCCCTTAATGACACTCTGTATTTTTATGAGTTCAGGTTTTCTATCTTAAAATCTTTATTCTCTTTACTTCATTTGTCATTTTTGTTGTTCTTCTCTTATCTCTCTTTGTTTTTGCTCTTTGAATTGATTTCCAAAACTGGATTTAAAAATATTATTTCATCAGATTCAGTTTTCCAGCTTTCTCTTGTTCTTTTAATAAAATGCCAACTACTTTTTCACTTCCAGATAAGTCTTTTTCTCCTTCAGTTACACTTTGGCCGAAGTTCTAGTCAGTTTGCTTCCCAATGCTTACATGTCTGAGCCAATTCTTCCTTTTTAATTAATAACTCTTCAAGATTCTTCAGGGCATCTTTTGCCCTTTAAAAAAACCATAGCACTTTTCCAGATATTTAATTCCTATGGAACCTCATCTTTTTAGGAGATGTGGATGTCCTTTACTAGATATTTTCCCCTGCTATTTATTTCCTAGGCACTTAAAACACTTTCTTTAGTTTCTCTTTTAGTGTCATGGGACAGAGTATATGATACAATAATAGGTGTATTTAAGAATTCTTTATATTTTAAACCAAAGTGTTTTAAATCTTTGCATATAAGTTATAGAAATAAAATATACTTAAATGTGTATTTTATTAATTTATATCCACTTTTACACACAGTTACAGTTCTGATATTTCTAATTATAAGATGCTAAATAAATGATTTTTATTTTATTTTTTTGCATCTGGAATTGGTGATCTTCTCTTCTTTGATGTTAGAAACCCTACTGATGTTACATTGATGCCTCTTATTTTTCTGGTTCTTAAGTGGCTCAGCCCAGAGAGCAGAGGCGAGTTTGGTTTGCTGATGGGATCTTGCCTAATGGAGAAGTTGCTGATGCAGCCAAATTAACAATGAATGGAACTTCCTCTGCAGGGACCCTGGCTGTGTCACATGACCCAGTCAAGCCAGTGACTACCAGTCCTTTGCCAGCAGAGGTAAGAAAACAAAATGGTAACTAAAAGTGAGTGCTTACTTTCCTTAGCATGTGCTGCCTCTATTTTGCTTTTTTCTCAGTTGAGTGACCTTTCTGCGGATACAGTTTAGTGCATGTGTATGTATTTTTAGGGGTACAGTATACTAGTATTAGTCATAATTTTGGGACTAATGGAATTCTCTTTCCTTGGCACCTCATTTTCAGAAGGGGACAAATAGTAACTATTTTTTCTGGACTCAGTGAAAAAACAAGAGTCACCTTGGATCAAAATGAGCAATTGTACTTCTATATAGTGGTATCCTTTCTATTGCTCATTGTCTCCTTGAATTTGGTCGTCAAAGCTATAATAAAGCTTATGTTAATTTCACCTGTCCATTTAAAAAATATATAATACAAGAGGGTCAAATTTAGATAAAGTTTTTTACTCTTGAAGTTTTCATAGAGTTGTTAGTTACTATTTATATTTATGATCAGTGATTTTTTTCAGGGGTTTACATAATTTATGAATTTTATTTTAGCTGAAATTGCGTGTTATCAATATTAGATTTATTGACATACAGAGCTAAATTTCCTGTTTGGTGAAGGAACATTAAATCATGTCATATCTGTCTTCAAATATTTGTGTCTTTTTCCCCCCTTAAGGCTACAAAGGGTTCCAGCCAGAACTATCTTATTCTTCCCTGAATTTTTATAATCACTTTAAAGAAGTTTCCTTCTTTTTCCTTCACTTGTTTGTTTGGAAAATTTTCAAACTCACAGAAAAGTTGCAAGAATAGTACAGTGAACACCCATATACTCTTCACTTATATTTACTAATTGTTCACATTTTGCTATATTTGCTTTACACACACACACACACACAGTTATTTTTTTGATGAACCATTTGAGGATTATTTGTACTTCATTGCTTAAGAACAAGCTATTTTCTTTCATAAGCAGAATATAATTATCATATGAGAAAGAAATTTAACATATAATCCTGTTATCTAATATATAGTCCATATTCAGATTTGCTCAATTGCCCCTCAGCCCAGCCTCTCGGGGGATGTCCGACTGCCAGTTTAGGCTCGATCCCCTAAACCAGCAGTTGGACATCCTCTTGCAATCCAGGACCGCTGGCTCCCAACTGCTCACCTGCCTGCCAGCCCGATAACCCCCTAACCACTCCCCTGCCAGCCTGATCAATGTTTAACTGTTCCCTTGCCGGCCTGATTGCCCCAAACTGCCCTTCCTTGCTGGCATGATCACCCCCAACTGCCCTCCTCAGTCAGCCTGGTAACCACCAACTGCCCTACACTGCCAGCCTGGTCACCCCCAACTGCCCTCGCCTGCTGGCCTGGTTACCCCCAACTGCCCTCCTTTGCCAGCCTGATTTCCCCCAACTGCCCTTGTCTGCTGACCTGGTCCCCCACAACTGCCCTCCCCTGCAGGCCTGGTCCCCCACAACTGGCCTCCCCTGCTGGCCTGGTTGCTCCTAATTGCCCTTCCCTGCTGGTCTGGTCGCCCCTAATTGCCCTCCCCTGCTGGCCTGATTGCCCACAACTGCCCTCCCTTGCTGTCCATCTTGTGGTGACCATCTTTGACCACATGAGGGCGGCCATCCTGTGCGAGGGCGTGAAGATCAATTTGCATAATATCTCTTTATTATCTGTACTAACATGCGAATTGACCGTACCTCTGCCATGCCCCACATACCACACCCACAAGCCAATCAGGAGTGAGTTTGCAAATTAATCCAACCAATATGGCTGCAGCCACAGAGTGAGCAGGAGGCTTGGGTTTCCCTGGCAAATGAGGAAACCAAGCTTCCTGCCTGCCCTGGCTGGCTCTGACCTCTGCTCATGGCTACAAAGTTTCAAGTATAGAAAATAAATAGCAGGGCCTCCGCTTGGGTCACCAGGGGGCGTGGCTAGCTTGCAAACCACCACAGGCCCCTTGCCCAGGCTGCTCCATGCCCCAAGGTAACCCCTACCCTGATCTGGAACACACTTTTTAAAAAATATATATATATATTATTGATTTTACACAGAGAGGAATTGAGAGGGCTAGAGAGTTAGAAACGTCGATGATAGAGAAACATCAACCAGCTGCCTCTTGCGCATCCCCAACTGGGGATGTGTCCGCAACCAAGGTATGTGCTCTTGACCAGAATCTAGCCCAGGACCCTTCAGTCCGCAGGCCAACGCTTTATCCACTGAGCCAAACCGGTTTCGGCTGGGACACTTTAGGGAGAACCAGCTGGACCCCACTCGTGCACCAGGCCTCTATCTTATCTAATAAAAGAGTAATATGCAAATTGACTGTCACTCCAACACACAAGATGGCTGCCCCCATGTGAACACAAGATGGCCGCCACAAGATGGCCAGCAGGGGAGGGCATTTGGGAGGGACCAGTCCTACAAGGGAGGGCAGTTGTGGGTGATCAGGCCAGCAGGAGAGGGCAGTTGGGAGGAACCAGGCCTGCAAGTGAGGGCAGTTGGGTATGATCAAGCCTGCAGGAGAAGGCATTTAGCGGTGATCAGGCCAGCAGAGGAGAGAAGTTGGGGGCAACTGGGTCTGCAGGGAAGGGTAATTGGGGGGGGGACCCAGATCTGCAGGGGAGAGCAGTTGGGGAGGACCAGGCCTGCAGGGGAGGATAGTTAGGGGCAATCAGGCTGGTAGGGGAGCAGTTAGGCATCAATCAGGCTGGCAGAGGAGTGATGAGGAGATCAGGCTGGCAGGCAGAAGTGGTTAGGGACAATTAGGAAGGCAGGTAGGAGAGCAGTCGGGAGCCAGCAGTCCTGGATTGTGAGAGGGATGTCCAACTGCCTGTTTAGGCCCGATACTACTGGCTTAAAATAAAGGGGTCCCAGATTGGAGAGGGTGCAGGCTGGGCTGAGGGACACCCACCATGCACGAATTTCATGCACTGGGCCTCTATTATAGGATAAAATCTTTAAAAAAAAAATTAGGATCCCATCAAGGATCAGTTGCATTTAGTTGTCATGTTTCTTTGGTTTTCTTTACTTTAGAACAGTTATGCCACTTTTAAAATTTGCTTTTCATTTTACTGTGTTTAAGTAAACCAATGTAGCACTAACCAGTATTGTTTAATAATCAAGTATATTTTCAATCCATGGTTGGGAATCCATGAATGTGGAGGACTGACTTAAGTTATATGCAGAATTTTTGGCTGTGCAAGTTGTGGACGTCCCTAACCTCTGCATTGTTCAAGGTCAACCTTATTAATATTTTTGGAATATCTAGGCCATGTTTTGTATAAAGTACTTAATTTGTATTTGTCTGATTTTTTTCTCATGATTAATTTTAGATTAAACATTTTTGGCAATACCACTTAAGTGAGGACCATTTCTTAGTGGAATGCATAAAGAAATAATCAGTTTGATAGTTGGTTAAATTGATATCTCCTATATTTCTCCGCTGCAAAAGTAGCTATTCTTTGCAGTTAATAAGTAATTCAAGGGTTGATACTTTGAGACTGAATATCCTGTTCCCCCAGCAATCTTGCCACAAGTGATTTCACTATTCTTTGACAATTATTGCCTGAATCAATTATATCTATGATGTTTAGTATGATTACTTCTTAAAACATAGGTTTTTTTGTGTTGTTATTGCTAATAGTTTTTTGGTGGAAGTTTTATTGTTTTCTCTATATAGAATCATGTCATCTGTAAATAGTGATAGTTTTATTTCTTTCTAATTTGGATCTCTTTTATTTTTATTTTTTTTCTTCTCTAATTGTTATGGTTAACATAAAAAAATTGTTTTAAATATATTTTATTGATTTTTCACAGAGAGGAAGGAAGAGGGATAGAGAGCTAGAAATGTCGATTAGAGAGAAACATCGACCAGTTGCCTCTTGCACACTCCCTACTGGGGATGTGCCACAACCAAGGTACATGCCCTTGACTGGAATCGAACCTTGGACCTTTCAGTCCGCAGACCGATGCTCTATCCACTGAGCCAAACCGGTTTTGCAACATAAAATTTTTTTTTTAATGAAAGGAAGCTCTAGTGGATACATGTTGTTGAAAAACAAGGTATAGGTCAATTTAAGAGAAACTAAACCAAGTTAGTTATTTTATTTCTGTAGTCTCACATTGTTCAACACTCTATTGCATTTTTATTATATCTAGCATAATCATATTAATGCAAAGAAAAATTAAGTTTTATTTCATGGCATAATAAATGAAAATGAAGACTTATTTTATTTATTTATAAATATATTTTTATTTCAGAGAGGAAGAGAGAGAGCTAGAGAGATAGAAACATCAATGATGAAAGAGAATCATTGATTGGCTGCCTCCTTTATGTACCCTACTGGGGGTGATTGAGCCTGCAACCCAGGCATGTGCCCCCAGCCAGAATCAAACCTGGGACCCTTTAGTCTGCAGGCCAACGCTCTATCCACTAAGGCAAACCAGCTAGAGCAATGATGACCTATTTTAATCTTTATATGTTATCACAATTTTTTTTTTATTGTGGTAAAATCTTACCTAATAATAGACAAACATGTAAATTGACCATACCTCTGCTACGCTCACAGCCAATCAGGAGTAAGTATGCACATTAATCTGACAAAGATGGTGGTTAATTTGCATATGCAGATGTGGAGTGGCCACATGGAACAGGACACCTGCTATGAGGGGAAGAAGGGGACTGAGGGAGCTACAGGAGCAGTGCTGTGGCTGGGAGCGAGGACTTGCCAGCTCCCGGGCCACCTGGGATCAGGGACTTGGTGGCTCCCAGGCGGCCCGGGAGTGAAGCCAGGGGAAGGAAGCATGAATATTGTGCAGAGGGCCTCTAGTGTGTGTGTGTGTGTGTGTGTGTGTGTGTGTGTGTGTGTGTGTGTGTGTGTACATATATATATATCATAAAATTTACCATTTTAACCCGTTTTAAGTGTACAACCCATGGCATTAAGTACTTTCATATTGTTGTACAACTATCACCACTGTTTTCAAAGTTATTTTCAAAAAGCAGTATAAATGAGACTTTAAGAAACCAAATACATTAAAAGTTCAGAAATTATGAGATAACATTGAATTTTGTGTTTGTTTACACTGCTAATTTTAAATATATATATGTTTTTTATGGCAAAAGAAACTTGGGTAAAGGGAAGCTTCGCCTCTTCTCTCTTTACTATGATTTGATGATGCCAAAAGGAAAGACTGTACAGCTGAGAACAATTTCATAGTATTAGCTCAGTCTTCTGGGAAACCATAGATTAATGAGTATGAAAAAATTATGAATTCCAAATTTTCACTTCAATTCTCATTTATATTCTTGATTATATTTTTCAAAGTCTTAAACATCTCTATAATGCTCACTTTGCTCATTTGCTTTTCCTAGACAGATATTTCTCTGTTCTCCGGGAATATAACTCAGGTTGGAAGTCCTGTTGGGAGTGCAATGAACCTTATTCCTGAAGATGGTCTTCCTCCCATTCTCATCTCTACTGGTGTAAAAGGAGGTTTGTGTACTTACATATTGCCTTCTAATTAAGGGAAGGTGATAACCACCCTTCTCTAACAAAAAAATCAACTACTCAATTCCGTGAAATTAATTGTTGCTGCTACTGGTTGTTTTAGAGAAGACATCTATGCTTTTAGCCTTGCACACGAATCCGTGCGCCAAATAGCTTGCCATAGCTCGCTGCCACCCTCCAGTAGCTTTCTGCCTGTTGCCCCACCCTCCTGTATCTCCCCCAGTCCCTCTCCCTCCACCCCTCCCCAATAGCTTGTCCTCTCCCCTCCTGTAGTTCTCTGCTGCCTGCTTGTATCTCGCTGCTGATGCTTCATGGTGAAATGACCATTTGCATCTTTATTACTATATAGGATGTCATTTCATTTATTGGAAGAATATATTTTTAATTTTAGTGTAAATGTAGTTGATTGGCAGGTTTTAAAAATATTTGTGTATTTAAAATATGTTTTTATTGACTTCAAAGAAAAGAAGGTAGAGGGAAAGAGAGGTGGAAACATCAATGATGAGAGAGAATCATTGACAGGCTGCCTCCTGCATGTCCCCTACTGGGGATCAAGCCTGTTACCTGGATAAGTGCCCTGACTGGGAATCAAACAGGTGATCTCTTCCTGGTTCATAGGTCAACGTTTTACCACTGAGCCACACCAGCAGGCTGAAAATATTTTAAAGTATATAATACTCTAAAGTGTTTCTTGTGGTTCTATAGTTGGCCCACCTGATATATCAGTACATTAATTTAACTTTTTGTTTTGAAGTGTAATATACATTCAAAATCTATAATAATAAAAGCATAATAATGCTGATTAGACCCGACAGCCAAACAACCTTCTGAACGTAAAAGGGTTGTTTTTAGATTTGCCACAAACCATTTTGAGGAGCAATCTCTACGTAGGATAACCATGTTGTCCTCCAAATTGGACTGGGTCACTTTTGAGAATGAAAGGGGGCACTGTTAATGATACTGACCTGGCAGGCACAGACCTCTATTCTCTCTACCTGTAAACCAAATACTCTCTCTTTCCTTTGCATAATCAGCCTGTTCTTCCATCAGATTTCTTTCTGTGTTTGTCCGTTTAGCCAGTCTCTTACATTGTTGTTTTTTTTCTCCCTTTACAGACTATGCTGTGGAAGAGAAACCATCACAGATTTCAGTGATGCAACAGTTGGAGGATGGTGGCCCTGACCCACTTGTATTTGTTTTAAATGCGAATTTGTTGTCGATGGTTAAAATTGTAAATTGTAAGTTAGAAATTTGTTTTTCAAAATAAAAAATTAGATACTTTACTGACTCATAGATAATACATAAAACTTTCAAATTTATTACAAATATTTTTATATAGAGCCACATCTTATTGACTACTGGGTACTGAAGAAGTTGGTTTGTATAAAATAATATATCCCAGAGGAGAGTTGAGGGACTAACAGAAACTCTTGCTTTTAGTCATAGGGGTGAGATAGGTGAATTCTCTATGAATGAAAACTTGAACTGATCTGAGTTAGGTTCTTCCTGAAATTAGTATGTTATGTCACAACTGACCACCAGGATAACCAGTGGTGGGTTTATTATCCAGGAGGGTAAAAAAAATTACATGCCAGATTTAAATCTCAGAAATCTTAATAATGGTGCAAAACTTGTTTGGGAGAAGTATTATTTAACTAACACGTAGTGAAGCTTCAGTTCTTAGGATTCAGAAGAAACTTCTAAATGCTTGGTTCCTTAGTGGGCATCAGAATGAGAGATAAGACAGTAACTTAATATCCTGATTTTAAGATGATATTGGAAAATAGATAATACATTTCTCTTGGATGAATATTAATAGGCACAGTTTTGGAGAGAGGAAGGAAGCACCTTAGAACAGTCCTCTAGTTCCCACTGTGAGCTTGTTTTAAATTGATCTTGGAAATGAGAAACATCTATTTTCTTAGAGGTTCTATTATACATTGATCAAATGCAGTTTTCTAGTTTACTTCCTAGACAAACCTTTGCATGTTTGACCAGTTATGAAATGCTGGTGATCTTTCCTTCTAGGATCAATTTTAAAATAATTTGCTCATTGGGTGGTGAAGACACAATACAATATACAGTGATATATTATAGAATTGTACTCCTGAAACCTATATAATTTTAATAACCAATTGTCACCCCAATAAATTAAATTTAAAAAATAAAAAATAAAGTAACTTGGTCAAAATTTCAATTTGTCATATCTAGTTTATAAGTTACACTTAGAAAATAATTAACCTAGACTTCTTTATTTTGTTTTGTTTTGTTAATCCTCATCCAAGGATATTTTTCCATTGATTTTTAGAGACAGTAGAAGGGAGGGGGAGAGACATAGAGAAAAATAGATGTGAGAGATACATCAATTGGTTGCCTCCTGCACATGCACCCACCTGCTGGGGATTGAATCTGCCTTGACCGGAATTGAACCTGGGACCCTTCAGTCCTCAGGCCAATGGTCTATCCATTGAACCAAATCAGTTAGGGCTAACCTAGAATTCCTTTAAAAAAATATTTTTTATTGATTTCAGAGAGAAAAAGAGAGGGAGAGAAAGATAGAAATATCAATGATGAGAGAGAATCATTGATTGGCTGCCTCTTGGGCATATGCCCTTGACCGGAATTAAACCCAGGACCCTTCAGTCCCAGGCCCATCCTCTATCTGTTTAGGTATATAAAGTAAAATTGTCAAAGTGAAAGAAGGGATCTTTTGTTAGTTTGATTTATATTGTGATATTTATAATGTTATTAGAATCCTTTTTCAATTCCTTTTGGAATCCCACTATGTTGGAATACAAATGATAAAAGTGCCAAGGAGTGACATTTTTAACTACATTTTAAGTATATATGGCTTATGCTATTAAGACTCCTCAGAGCCTTATAGTGAAGAAGTGGAAGTAGTCCAAAAAAGCCATCTTTTTTAAAAAAATTTTTTAATCATTTTTTACATCATGAAGCCAAGTTGAGGACTATAATTAGAATATCTAGAATCTTTTAGTCATAGACTAATGTACACATAAAAGAAATTTTTAAAAAAAATATATTTTTATTGATTTTTCACAGAGAGGAAGAGAGAGGGATAGAGAGTTAGAAGCATCGATGAGAGAGAATCATCGACCTACTGGGGATGTGCCTACAACCAAGGTACATGCCCTTGCCCGGAATCGAACCCGGGACCTTTCAGTCCGCAGGCCGACGCTCTATCCACCGAGCCAAACCGGTCCCAGCAAAAGAAATATTTTTTAGGCCCCAACCTGAATTCAAAGCTGTAAGATTGGCTTTTACTATTGTTGTTTTAGGCCTTACATAAGTAATTCCTATGTGAAGTGTGTGGTGGTGTTTTTTAAAAAATAAAGATGGGAAAATAGATTTTTAAAATCATTATAACTAAGGATGTGTAGATTGATTGTATTTATTTTATTTATAAAGGAATATTGATTCTTTTGATAATTACACTATTTTATTTTTATTTTTTATTTTTTAAAAAATATATTTTACTGATTTTTTACAGAGAGGAAGAGAAAGGGATAGAGTTAGAAACATTGATGAGAAAGGGATAGAGTTAGAAACATCGTCATCGATCAGCTGCCTCTTATACACCCCCTACTGGGGATTTGCCCGCAACTAAGGTATATGCCCTTGACTGGAATCGAACCTGGGACCCTTGAGTCTGCAGGCCGATGCTCTATCCACTGAGCCAAACTAGTTTCGGCTAATTACACTATTTTAAAATAGCAATTAAAAATTTTCAGTTTTTTTTCACTATTACTTCTTTTACTCACCTTCATATTGTTTTTCTAAGGGTTTGCCTAGAGCCAGAGGCAATGGTATATTTTATTTTCTACAGTTGTTCTTTGACTCAATGCAGTACAAATCGCTGGTTGAATTATACAGACAGTATGATCCATTTTATTCTTTACTGTATTATAACAGATTTTTGTGCATTTTTCAAAGGTTAAGAGTTGAGAGGAATGATCCATTTTATTCTTTACTGTATTATAACAGATTTTTGTGCATTTTTCAAAGGTTAAGAGTTGAGAGGAATGTCTTTGTTATATTTTTATTCCATCTGTAGATGTGAACAGGAAGTGCTGGTGTTTCACAACCAAGGGAATGCATGCAGTGGGTCAGTCCGAGATCGTCATTCTTCTACAATGTCTGCCTGATGAAAAGTGTCTGCCGAAGGATATCTTTAATCATTTTGTACAGCTTTATCGAGATGCTCTGGCAGGTGGGAATCCTTATGATTTAATCTGCACCCCTTATAGGTGATAAAACTTTTAGACACAGATGCAAAATAACTATGTTAAATTTGGAAGCCTGGCGTTGGATGTTGATATTAGTGGCAAGTTAGACCATGTCTTGGTCTGAGGAAATTATAAATTTTAGTACTTTACCTGGTGTGTTTGTTATTTTACACAGGCTAGAATCTTTGAGTTCTTAGGGATCATTATGTTGATACCCAATAGAAGAAAGCATGATCATAACTCACTACTTGTTTCTTCAGTTAACAATATTTAGATAATCATAATGTGAAAGTACTCTACATCTAATTTTCAAGTTTCAAGAACCAAGCACGAATATCTTTATTATGGTTTCAAAATCCTATATAATAAAGAGGTAATATGCAAATTGACCCTCACACCCTCACAAAATGGCTGCCTACCACCAGGCTGGCAGGGGGGTTAGTGAGGGACTGACCAGCAAGCTACGGGCAACCAGGCCAGCAGGGGCGACCAGGCAGGCAGGCAAGTGAGTGATTATGAGCCAGTGGTCCAGGATTGTAAGAGGGATGTCCAACTGCTGGTTTAGGGATCGGGCCTAAACTGGCAGTCAGACATCCCCCGAGGGGTCCCAAGATTGAAGAGGGTACAGTCTGGGCTGAGGGGACAACCCCCCGTGCATGAATTTCACACACTGGGCCTCTAGTAAGTTATAAAAATTATTTGCTGTAACAATCTAAAAGTAAATGTATAGCTATTATAAACTGGAGAAGTAATCATATAGTAGCCATATTTTTACTTTTTGAGAAAACTCCATACTCTTTTTTCATAGTGACTGCACCAATTTACATTTCCATCTGCACAAAGATTCCCTTTTCTCCACATTTTCACCAATATTTGTTATTTTAAAATTGATTTTTTTTTTTAAAGCTGTTGTAGGAATTCAGCAAGAAATTATCAGGGTTTAGGTTTAGTAATGGCAATGGGAATAAAGACTGTTGAAGAGAGATAAATGACAGCGATGCTTTAATTGAATAGGATTAGTTAACTAATTAGATGTGAGGGGTGAGAGGGAACAAGTGGAAAGTTGACTTCAGATTCATTAAGTTAGTAAATAGAAGAACAAATATGGCAGCTGAAATCTTTGTTCATTGTGCTGAATTTGAAATGATGACAACAGATGATGATAGATAAATTGAAATGACCCCAGGAGGTGGATCTGGGAGACCCAGTGTTTATGTGAAAGTTTGAACTACAGTTCTGAACAGATAGGCCAGTGTGAAGAGACTAGAGCTGTGAATGGAACTCTGAGAAATACCTACAAGGAAAGGCATGAATCATTATATAAGTCATTAAAATATATCTTTAGCAAGTATAGTCACTTATTTTTTAAAAGTATCCTTATATATCAGTAGAGTCCATTATTATATCGAAATGCAACAGGTCTGCAAAAAAATTACTTGGAACTGATAGTAAGATAATGGTGATAGCCTAAGGCCTGCCTATAATACATTTAAGCCATCTTAACTATATGTACCCTCACCCAATATACATGTACATATATACCTAAGTAAATAACATTTCAGCAGCATAAACAAATGAGCTATAACAGTCTCTTCTTGAATAGTAATCATTTCACAGCTCAGAAATAAGGGCCTAGAAAAGAATCTTAGATTATCTAGTACAACTCTAATGAAACCTGGAGGTGTTGATTGCTTGTCTATATCACAGGCCTCGTTGGTGGCAGAATTAGGTCTAAAGCTCCATGACCAGTGTTCTTTAGTTTATGTCAGTATAGCATAAAACTGTACTATTAGTTAGTATAGCAGTTTTTAAAAACATGTGCAAAATATCTACGTGATATGCATGTTTTACTATGAATCCTGTTTTTACATAATGAAAGTAGCAACTTACTATATTATTTCACTATGATTTTTTAATAGGTAGAAACATATTTTAAATGTTCTAACATGACCCCAATTCATTATTTTTCTCCTTTGTGTAGCGTAGTGAGAGGAATTGGCAAATTGTATCTTAAATTTCCACTGAGTATGAAAGCTTTGAATACTCTATTACTCTATTATTTGCTTAGTGGTTCCTCTAACACAAATCACTAAAAAAAACAACAACCCTTAAAAACCCTTTAATGAACTTTATAATTTAATCTGAAAATTTCATCTAAACTACATGTATTTAATAATACATGTATGCATATATGTTTCTTATTTAGTATACATATATTTGTAGTAGTTGCTTATGCTTTCCACAGTGAGGGGGAAAATTATATTTTATGAGAAATGACATTTGAGTGTTTCAGGATGCCTTCTAATTATCATAATGCCATGGAAGATTTTAAATTGTATATAGTAATTTTGAAGCAAGTCCCTTTTTTTTACCTGTGATTGTTTCCTGACTAATGTGTTTCCAGGGAAAGAGGAACCTCACTGGTGTTTTCACCATCATCAATGATTTTCTTGTATTGTTTGACCAGTTAAAGAATATTATCTTACTAGAGATCTAATGCACAAAATTTGTGCAAGAGTAGGCCTTCCTTCCCCCGGCTGCTACACTGGCTTCCATCTGGCATCCAGGACCCGGGCTTCCCTCTGGCCTCGGCTTCATCAGGAATGGGGTCTGGAAGGAAGTCTCGTCTAATTACCATATTACCCTTTTATTATTATAGATGGAATAGGTTTTTATTTTATTTTTTCTAGCTAATTTTGAACCTTTTTGATAAATTACATTTATTTTATCTTTCTATGAACAGAGGAGCCAAGGTATTGATGCTTTGTAATTTTTCAACTGATGAGAAAATAATATGGAATTGTTTATGAAGACATGATTTAAGACTAATCATTAATATTTATTGAGCACTTGCTACATGATAGGCAATGTATTCATTGCTTTATGTGCACTATTCCACTTCTATTAACTATGAAGTTTATACTGTTCTTTTCCCAATTTTACATATGAGGAATCTGAAAGGCACTGAGGGCACAGTAACTTGCCCACAATCACACACACAGCTGGTAAGTGGTTGGACCCGGGGTTGAATTCAACTGTGTCTTCTCTAAATCTCATTTTTTGAACCATAAAAAGCAATAAACTGCCTCTTGAGCTTTTTGAAATTATATGGTAAATCTCACAGATTCTCTAAACTAAGGAAATGATCTTTTATGAAGTACTCATGCTTAACTGTAGTGAATTGTATTACAGAGCACTCCAAGGGACTGAATATATTCTTTTGATGACTTGAGCTTTTTTAAGTTATATTAATGCCTAAAATATTAGTATTTTTTGAAATAAGTGAACTATTTGTTTGGAAATTGTTCCATTTTAGTTGATGTAAAGATTGATAAATATGCTTTGAAACAAAAGAAGCTGTTATAGATATTTAAGTTGTATTTAAATTGAATTTAAAGATGGTTATTTGTGAGCACTTTGAAAAACAAAGTTTTAATTCCAAATTTAAGATAGAAAATTGCAAATTATATATATTTTAAAGAAATTGTGGTATATCAAAAGACCAGGAGATTGAAAGATCTGCTTTTTAGATCTTATTTTGCCACTTATTTATCCAGTGTCTTTGAGAGTCACTTCACCTCTACCCCTAAGCTTCAATTTGGTTTTGTTTTTTTTTCCTTTTTTCTTTTTTTTTTAAATTAATTAATTTATTTATTTTACATATTTTATTGATTTTTTTTTTGCCCCCCTCCATACCTCCCCCATATCCCCTCCCTCCCCAGAGTTTTATGTCCATTGGTTGTACTTATATGCATGTATACAAGTCCTTGGGTTGATTTATTATCTCCCCCAGACCCTCCTCCCCTCCCCGTTGTAATTTGACAATCTGCTTGTTGCTTTACTGTCTCTATATCTATCTTTTGGTTCATCAGTTTATAATGATCTTTATTATCCACAAAGGAGTGGGGTCATGTGGTGTTTCTCTTTCATTGATTGGCTTATTTCACTCAGCATGATGTTCTCCAATTCCATCCAGGTTGCTGCAAATGATGAGAATTCCTTCTTTTTTATGGCAGCATAGTATTCCATTGTGTAAATGTACCATGGTTTTTGGATCCAATCATCAGCTGACGGGCACCTAGGCTGTTTCCAGATTCTGGCTATTGTAGATTGTGCTGCTATGAACATAGGGGTGCATATATCCTTTCTGATTGGTGTTTCTAGTTTCTTGGGATATATTCCTAGAAGTGGGATTACTGGGTCAAATGGGAGTTCCATTCTCAGTTTTTTGAGGAAACTCCACACTGTTCTCCACAGTGGTTGCACCAGTCTGCATTCCCACCAGCAGTGCACGAGGGTTCCTTTTTCTCCGGAACCTCGCCAACACTTGTCGTTTGTTGATTTGTTGATGTTGGCCATTCTGACAGGTGTGAGATGATACCGCATTGTTGTTTTGATTTGCATCTCTCGGATAATTAGTGACTTTGAGCATGTTTTCATGTGCCTTTTGGCCTTCCTTCTGTCTTTTGTAAATATTCTATTTAGGTCCATTGCCCATTTTTTAATTGGATCAATTTGATTATCTGTAAAATAAAACCTCCAAATTCAGAAATGGTACTAGCTCTGTTAAGCTAGTGGCACTGGTCTGATAATTACCTGAAATGCTTTGTAAATTACTTGTCAGATCATTTATGCTCAGAAGCAAGAGTTGTTGTCTGTTTTAATTACTATATAGATTCTTCAGTGGTCTTGGGGTATGTAGAATTAGTTCAGTGAATTCATTGTATTGAATGTTTCCATTGAGAAATAATCTGTATAAATTAGTATATAATAGATTTTATGAATTTAAGAGCTTCAGATTAAATCTTCAAATGAAAGCTTTTCTTTATCAAATTTTTATGTCCAGTGTGCTATTTTTGCTGATCTATTACCCTTTTGATGACTGTTACCCCTTTAAAAAAAAAAAAAATATATATATATATATTATTGATTTTTTACAGAGAGGAAGAGAGAGGGATAGAGAGTTAGAAACATCGATGAGAGCCGGGACCGGTTTGGCTCAGTGGATAGAGCGTCGGCCTGCAGACTGAAAGATCCCGGGTTCGATTCCGGTTGAGGGCATGTGCCTTGGTTGCAGGCACATCCCCAGTAGGGAGTGTTCAAGAGGCAGCTGATCGATGATTTTCTCTCATCGATGTTTCTAGCTCTCTATCCCTCTCTTTTTCACAGAGATATTAAATATATTAAAAATATATATATTAAAAAAAAGAAAAGAAATATCGATGAGAGAGAATCATCGATCAGCTGCCTCTTGCACACCCCCTACTGGGGATGTGCCCACAGCTAAGGTACATCTCCTTAACCAGAATCGAACCTGGGACATTTCAGTCTGCATGCTAACTCTCTACCCACTGAGCCAAACCAGTTTCGGCTGTTACTCTTTGTTTGATAAGGTAGTAATTAATGACAGTATAAACTAAATCACTCTTTAAAGTCTACTTAAATTTTTTTTAAAGAAAGTAAATGTTTAAAGCATAAAAGATATTTTTTAATAATGGATGGGGACATTCTAAAAAAACTTTCAGTGTGATGGGGGCAGAAAGGTAATTAATATCTGTGGGGAAATAACCAATAATAGATTTCAAAGGAATAATTAACAAATGCCTTGCATTTTTATGAGGCATTCTTATGAAACATAAACATGCTGTCAACAGAGCTTTAGACGAATGCTATTGTGTTCTCTCCATTGTGGCGGGAGAAGAAGTCTTCCATCTCTTTTCCTCTCCCTCCTTCTCCCTGCCCTTCCAGATAAAAAGATGAAAATTTATATAAATCTTACTCTAAAACCCTTGATAAAGCAAAGAAAATCGTGTAATGTTTGGCTGATTATTGTATGTATTTTTGCATTATAACTAATAGTTATGTTTTGAGAACACACTGTGTGCCAGGTACTGATAGACATTTTACTTATATTCTACCATTTCTTCTTCCCAGCAGGTCAAAAGTTTAGTATAATTTCTCCCATTTTAGCTTCTGTTGAGGCTCACAGAAGTTGAGTAACTTACCCCCAAATCACACAATTGTGAGTGATCGAACTAGTATTCAAACTCATATCTCTGAAACTCCCAAATCTGTGGTCTTTTTTCAAAATAACATACTATTTTCTTGATATGGGGAAGAGAGAGGGGGAGAGAGAGAGAAACATAAATGATGAGAGAGAATCATTGATCGGCTGTCTCCTGCATGCCTTCCACAGGGGATTGAGCCTGAGGCCAGGCATGTGCCCTTGACTGGAATTGAACCTGGGACCCTTCAGTCTGTAGACCAATGCTCTGCCCACTGAGCCAAATCAGCTAGGGCTGTATGGGGATAGTTTTTATAGATCTGGTCCAAGAGTTTAAATGGGCAGCCAGTTTCGGTTAATCCTACGGCAAGAGTACTTAGTAGTACCCTAAATGTAATGATGTCCAGGTGAACATGGCTCTCATCCATAGAGTTTTTCTGAGTTTTGTGTGGGAGGTGTTCCCTTTACTTATAGACGCTACTATCAATATAGCTTCCCTCTTTCATTCTATGACCCATCACTGAACTCTTCTGTGAACAAACAGACTCCAGTTTTCAAAAAAGGAAGCACTAACATTTGTGATGGGGATTTTTGTATTTGGTCTTCTTTCAGAGACATCATAGGAAGCTTGCACATTCTAATGAATATATCTGCTCTTACTCTATTGAACAGCTCTTATCAGAAATTTTGTAATTCTGAACTGAGGAAAATATCATTAATGAAGGGCTGATTTGGTACTGTTTCATTTTTAAAAATTCTTAAATAAGAAGGTGCTTAATAAAGAGCATTTGCAGGTAAAAAAAAAAAAAAAAAAGAATCCCCACCTAAAATGAATTTAAGTAAGCCCTACGTTGTTTACATTTCATATTTGTCTCCAAAATTAGACACAACCTTCTCTATAAATTTTCTTTTCCCCTCAGTGCCTCATACATAACTTTATAGTCTTAATTCATTATGTTCATGAATTAACTTTTTCACCCAGTAAGATTATAAGCTCTGTGAGAGCAGGTACCTAATCTTAACATAGTTTCACAACCTTTGAATCAATAATTGTTATCCTAATTTACATAAGTAAAGTTACACCATCTAACAAGGGAAACCATCAGTATTTTTGGCTCTATTCTATACCAAGAGTGGGGAATGTTCGGCCCTCAGGCTGCATAAGGCCTGCAAAATCATTTGGTCTGCCACTGCCAAGGCAACCACAGGCAGGACTTAAATTCAATAAACCTAGGAGCTTTTTTCATGGCACCATACATTTATATTAAGTGAATTATATTAAGCAAATAATGTTTTAAATATCCAATGGCCTTGGCAGAAAAAAGATTCCCCACTCCTGATCTAGACAAACTTCTAAAATAATTACTGATAATACAAGATATATATACCATGCTCACAGAAGCCCTGATAACATTGGGGGCAATTTTTTTCATTTAATAAATGCCATTTGTTTATTTAAAAACTTTCTAAACATGGCTGTTTCATGGTGAAAAGTTAGAATTAGTGTTCAGTAATGTCTGCCTAGTATTGAGTAATAATGATTACTAAAATATTATTGATTTATTAATAGAAAATAATCAATGATCTTTTTGTTTCAGGGAATGTTGTGGGCAACTTAGGACATTCCTTCTTCAGTCAAAGTTTCCTTGGCAGTAAAGAACATGGTGGATTTTTATATGTGACATCTACTTACCAGTCACTACAAGACCTTGTACTCCCAACCCCACCTTATTTATTTGGGATTCTCATCCAGAAATGGGAAACTCCTTGGGCTAAAGTGTTTCCTATTCGACTAATGTTGAGACTTGGAGCTGAATATCGACGTAAGTAATAACATACTTTCTTCTAAAACACATGATGACTAAATAAAGTTCTGAAATATTGAGTCCCCTCACCCCTGTGATATTGATACAATTTAGCAGAAGTAGTATTTTCAAATAGCGAAGCTAAACTTAGCCATTATCTCTACTCATTTTGCCTAGAATGGGAAGGACTGAAAAATATCAAATGAGAAAATTGGTAATTATTACCCTCTAAACTTACTGGTTTTATAATTTATTGATAAATACATAATCATCTTCAGAGAAAAAATGAATTTGAACTTAAGAAGTAACTTTATTATTACTTTTTAAACTTGAGGATATGTTTTTTATTTTATTGATTTTGTTTTAGAGAGAGAGAAAAGGAGAGAGGGAGAGAGAAACATCGATCTGTTGCCGCCCTTAAGTGTCTTGAGCAGGCATCAAATCTAAAACCTGGATATGTGCCCTGACGAGGAATCAAACTTGCGATCTTTTGGTGCATGGGACAGCACTACAACCAGCTGAGCCACCCTGCCAGAGCTAACGACTTTTTATAGTGTCTATATTTGGTGGGTGTATTTTTTGTCACTTTGTTAGAAAATAGTTATGGCAAATTATATTTTATGTAACCTAACGGATACTGGCAACTAATGGTATAGAGATCACTCTCAGTTGATAAGGTAAGCAACAAAAGACCTTCCTTCCCATGGTTGTAGCAGTGCAACTAAGTTATAATTTTTTTTTTTTTTAAAGACAACAGGACTAAATGCAAGCTTTATTTTAAACTTTTTATCTTCACCTAATTGAAAGCATCCTGGTTTAGACCACTTGAATAGGTTCTTTTCTTTCTTTCTTTCTTTCTTTCTTTCTTTCTTTCTTTCTTTTTTTTTTTTTTTTTTTTAAATATTTTATTGATTTTTAACAGAGAGAAAGGGAGAGAAATAGAGAGCTAGAAACGTCGATGAGAGAATCATCGACCAGCTGCCTCTTGCACACCCCCTACTGGGGATGTGCCCGCAACCAAGGTACATGCCCTTGACCGGAATCGAACCTGGGACCTTTCAGTCCGCAGACCGACGCTCTACCACTGAGCCAAACTGGCTTTGGCTTGAATAGGTTCTTTTTAAAAAATATATATTTTATTGATTTTTTTTTATAGAGAGCAAGAGAGAGGGATAGTTAGAAACATTGATGAGAGAGAATCATCGATCACTGCCTCTTGCACAGTCCCTACTGGTGATGTGCTCACAACCAAGGTAACATGCCCCTGACCAGAATCGAACCTGGGACCCTTCAGTCTGCAGGCCGACGCTCTATCTACTGAGCCAAACCGATTTCGGCTTGAATAGGTTCTTAACGCTACCACTTACTAGCTCTGTAACTTTGGTCAAATCACTCAAGTTGTCTGATTGTCAGTTTCTTTTGCAATTGGTGATAATAAGGCCTGCCTTTTATATTACATTAGAGGCCTGGTGCATGAAATTTGTGCATGGAGGGGTCCTCCCCCAGCTCAGCCTGCACCCTCTCGCAATCCAGGACCCCTTGGGGGATGTCCGACTGCTGGTTTAGACCCAATCTCACAGGGATCCTGCAGCGGGATCAGGACTAAACCACAAATTAGACATCCCTCTTGCAATCTGGGACTGTTGGCTCCTAACTGCTCGCCTGCCTGATTACCACTAACCACCTCTTCCTGCCTGCCTGATTATCCCTAACTGCCTCTGTCTGCCTACCTGATCCCCCTAATCACTCACCTGCCTTCCTGATCCCCCCCCTAACCACTCACTTGCCTGCCTCATCACCCCTAAATGACTCTGCCTGCCTGCCTGATCACCACCAACCCCTCTGCCTACCTGCCTGATTGCCCCTAACAGCTCGTCTGCCTGCCTGATGGCCCCTAACCACTTGCCTGCCTGTTAGATCACTCCTGTCTGCTTCTACCTGCCTGCCTGATCACCCTGAACTACTGGCCTGCCTGCCTGATTGCCCCTAACTGCTCACCTGCCTTTCTGATCATCCCTAACCACCTCTGCCCCAGCCACTGCATCAGGGACCCAGGCTTCCCTCCTCGGGCCGACCGCAGGCCAGCTTCACCCGGGCTGGCTGCAGACACTTGGGACCTCAGGCAGCTTCTTCTGGGCCCCAGCTTTGTCAGGAAGGATGTCTGGTCTATCCGGTCTAATTAACTTATTACCCTTTTAATAGTATAGATAGTATTTTTAAGAGGATCAAATGAGATGAAAAATTATTTTATAAACCATAAAATATATATGTTCTCAGCAGGTGAATTTCATCGCTTTACTTATTTATTCATTAATGCAACAAGAAATTAATAAAGGCCTACCATGTGTCATGCGTTCTGGGAATTCAGAAATGGCTAAGACCTGTTATAGGCCCTTGGAAACCTTTGTAAGGAAGACATACAGAAATCATGAAGTAGTGTATTGTATTAAAACACATATTCAAGTTAACAGACTTCTATGAGAGCTCCAAGATGGGCTCTAACTTCACCAAGATGAAGGAATTAGATAAGAAATATGTCTTGGACCAAAGGCTTCTGGATTGAACTGTGAAGGAAGCATATCCATCAGCCTAGTGAAGTAGGAAAAGAAAAGGGATTTTTTGCAGCTGAGCCAGGATGTATAATTTCTTGTCTTGAGCAGACAGTTCACATCATAAAGTTCAAGGAGTGAGCATCTCATAGGATCACGTGGTTTTGGCTCCCCTAAGGAGGGTCCTGGTTGGGAGATGTCTAAAGGTGGATTCTTTTAGAAGCTTGAGCACAGAGGAATCAGAAGATATATATTTCCTGGATCATATTAATCCACTTCGAAGAATAGTGCTTCCCTAAGACCTTGTGGTCATTTTTGAAACCACTGCATCAAAAGGCTTATTCAGGTCATCAAAAACGATTAGAGTATTTTGTAGAAGTCTCAGGATTTGCCTTTGATGCTACCTGCTAAATACTTTTTTTTATCCTCACTGAGGATATTTTTTCCATTGACTTTTTTTTTTTTCTTTTTAGAGAAAGTGGAGGGGGGAAAGGAGGAGAGAGAAAAACATCAATGTGAGAGAGATACATAGATTGGTTGCCTCTTGCACATGTGCAACAGGGGCTGGGATTGAGCCTGAAACCGAGGTATATGCCTTTGACTGGGAATCGAACCTGAGACCCTTCACTCCACAGGCCGATGCTCCAACCCCTGAGCCAAACCAGACAGGGAGCTAAATACTTTTGAGCTCTAGATTTCATATGCTCTAATGGGCCATTATATTTTGAAAACTGTATCAACCATGATATCTCTTTTATTCAAATTTTAAGCTGCCAGACTTAGTCTGATCATTTCTCATTTCCATAGTTTATCCATGCCCACTGTTCAGCGTCAGATTTCGGAAGCCATTGTTTGGAGAGACGGGACATACCATTATGAATCTTCTTTCAGTAAGTTGGTAATTTTTGCTTTCTTTTTCCTTACTGGGATTTGTATAGGTGAAAGAAAAGAAGGGTTTTACTATTTTGTTGATAGCAATGCCTCTGCTGCTTCAGGCAGGTGAAGATTTATATATATATGTTAGAGGCCCGGTGCACAAAATTCATGCATGGGGGGGTGTCCCTCAGCCCAGCCTGCACCCTCTCCAATATGGGACCCCTCAAGGGATGTCCCAACTGTCCGTCCAGTGGGCAGTTGGACATCCCTCTCATAATCCAGTACTGCTGGCTTCCAAGTGCTTGCCTGCCTACCTTCCTGATTGCCCCTAATCACTTCTGCCTGCCAGCCTGATCACCCCTTAACCACTCCCCTGCCCACCTGATTGATGCCTAACTACTCCCTTGCCAGCCTGTTTGCCCCTAACTGCCCTCCCCTGCAGTCCTGGTCACCCCTAACTGCCCTCCTCTGCAGGCCTGGTACCCCCCCCAACTGTTCTCCCCTGCAGGCCTGGGTTTCCCCCAAATGCCCTTCCCTGCAGGCCCCATCGCCCCCAACTTCCCTCATCTGCCGCCCTTGTCACCCCTAACTGCCCTTCCCTGCAGGCTTGATTGCCCCCCAACTGCCTTTCCTTGCAGGCTTGGTCCCTCCCAACTGCCCTTCCCTGCTGGCCATTTTGTTGGCCATCTTGTGTCCACACAGGGGCAGTCATCTTGTGTGTTGGAGTGATGGTAAATTTGCATATTATTTTGTTAGATAGGATAGAGGCTGGTGCACGGTGGGAGCCAGCTGGTTTGTCCTGAAGGGTGACCTGGATCAGGGTTGGGGTTCCCTTGGGGTATGGGGTGGCCTGGCGAGGGGCCTGTGGTGATTTGCAGGCCTGCCATGCCCCCTGGCAACCCAAGCAGAGGCCCTGGAATCTAGGGTTTGTTTATCTTCTATAATTGAAACTTTGTAGCCTTGAGCGGAGCCAAGCCTCCTGCTCGCTCCATGGCTGCCGCCATTTTTGTTGAGATTTATTTATCTTCTATAATTGAAACTTTGTAGCCTTAAACAGAGGCCTTAAACAGGCCAGGGCTGCAGAAACTTGGCTTCCTCCATCACCGGTGGCAACTCAAGCCTCCTGCTCTCTCCAGCTCCGTGGCTGCTGTCATTTTTGTTGGGATTTATTTAACTTTTATAATTGAAACTTTTTATCCTTGAGTGGAGGCCTGACCTGCCAGGGTGTGCAGAAAGCTTGGCTTCCCTCGTTGCCAGGGAAACCCAAGCCTCCTGCTCTCTGTGTGGCTGTAGTCATCTCGATTGGGTTAATTTGCATACTTGCTCCTGATTGGCTGGTGGTTGTGACTTGTGGGTATGGTCAATTTGCATATTACTCTTTTATTAGATAGGCTATTCTTTCTAAGTATAAGGGGCCTTGGAGTGAAATAGTGCAGGATTCTAGCTCCTGATTTTACACTTATTATGTAAGTGACCTTGCAGGATTATTTTTAGGACTAGAGGTAATGAATAATTAAAGCATAGAACCATAGTCGGCAAACTGTGATTCTTTGGCCCTTTGAGTGTGGCTCTTCCACAAAATACCACGGCCTGGGTGAGTCTATTTTGAAGAAATGGCATTAGAAGAAGTTTAAGTTTAAAAAATTTGGCTCTCAAAAGAAATTTCAATCATTGTACTGTTGATATTTGGGTCTGTTGACTAATGAGTTTCCTGACTACTGGCATAGAGCATTCTGTCTTGTTTTTATTTTAAGCCAAGCATTCTGGAGTGTATCTAGAATATAGCTAGAATCTGAAAACTTCTCACAACCTTTTGAACTATTTACATCTGGGTTGAAATGATCACTGTCTCTTGCCTTGATTATTTTTAATTGTGTTCATATGATCTCCTACTATGCATCTCTGGCTAACTATCAAACATTCCAGCATCCCCTATAACAGTGGTTCTCAACCTTTCTAGTGCCTCGACCCTTTAATACAGTTCCTTATGTTGTGGTGACCCCCCAACTATAAAATTATTTTTGTTGCTACTTCATAACTGTAATTTTGCTACTGTTAATGAATCGTAATGTAAATATCTGTGTTTTCCGATGGTCTTAGGCTCTACAGCAGCGACCCACAAGTTGAGAACTGCTAGCAGGGTCGTGGAAGAGAAGGGCAGTTAGGGTCAATCGGGCCGGCAGGGGAGCAGGCAGGGGAGCAGTTAGGCGTTGATCAGGCTGGCAGGGGAGTGATTAGGTGGTGATCAAGCTGGCAGGCAGAAGCAGTTAGGGGCAATCAGATAGGCAAGCATGTGAGCAGTTGGGAGCCAGCAGTCCTGGATTGTGAGAGGGGTGTCTGACTGCCCTTGAGGGGTCCCAGATTGGAGAGGGTACAGGCTGGGCTGAGTGACACCTGCCCCTTTCTCCCCTTGTGCATGAATTTCATGCACCAGGCTTCTAGTTGTATATAAGAGGTATATGAAACTTTTAAATTTATAAGTGTTTACAATTTAATGGAGTGCTGGAGTACACATACCAGTACACTGTGGGACTCTCATTATTCTTATTATTTAAATGAATTGAAGCTTTTCATTTTGACATTTTTTCCACTTTGCTAATTTTATTACTATAAGTGGAACCCAATCATTGATCACTTCTTTATTCTACTTCAATCTGCTTTTGCCCAGGACTTCAGGAATTACCAATATACATTGCCAATAGTTCAAGGTTTGGTGGTTGATATGGAAGTTCGGAAAACCAGCATCAAAATTCCCAGCAACAGATACAATGAGGTAAGATTTATCGTGAGGCATATTTTTCATATGCGTGAATGAAGTTGAAAAATATGGGATTATTTATAAAGTTTATTTTTAATTAATAGACAGTGAAATCAGTCCATAATATTGTATGACCTAGATCAATGATGAGAAATTTTATAATTAGCAAGATATTAAATTTGTGATTTATTTAGTCATTGTTTGTGCTTTTGACCTTTGCATGCTGTGATAATCAGTGATAGATTTGCATTCTGATCAAGATATAAAATAAACTTTATTATATTCACGGTGGAATCTTTTCATTTTTCCTTTATTGTAAGTACATGTTATTTTTGACTGTCGTTAATGTTTTAGCACAGGTCACTTTAAGTCCCAAAATGACATTTAAGTAAGGTTCCAAAAGCAAATGATTGCATCTTAAATTAAGCTGTATCGTGTAAATAAAATGAAATTGTGCATACTATATACATATTAACAGTTGTATAAACCTTTACCTATTTGTCATGTGAAATCTTTCTTGAATTTAAAATGTTCTTAAGATAATTTCTGAAATGTCTAATAGTAAACATTGTGATTTAAAATAAGTGTTATTTTAAAATTTAGCTTGATATTATAATATTTAAAATGTGTTGTTTGTGTAAAATTGTTGTTTTATTAGGCAAGATGATAACTCCCTGATCACTTCTTCTTTCACTACTTCTTGATATGAAATAATTTCCTCCTTCCTTCTCTCTTTTTTTCTTTCTTTTATTTTTTTCCCTTTATTCAGACTTCTGTTTACTTATTCACTTGTACATTCAATAAACATTGTGTACTTGTTATGTACTTAGAATCACACAAATGTTTTACTGGACTTAGAAGCTCAGGGCTCTGCATTGAGAAAATACCTATGTTAAGAAAGCCTTTACTTATGGCTTTCTCTGTGATGGCTTTTTTCAGGAGAATGGAAAATAGTAGCTAGTGTATGCTTAATTTTTTCTGGGATACAGTTAGCAGTTTTTAGCTTTTAGTCCTACCTGGAAATAAATATCAAGCATTAATATACTAGAGTAGGTAGAGGCAAATCTTCAAAGTGAATTATAAAGAGATTATGTTTTGAAAACTTGTTTTCTAGTATTTGGAGTTTTATTATTTGATTCACAAACATTGAGTAAGCACATTCTGTGTTATGAATTACAAAGATGAGTAAGGATATTTTGCTTGCCTTGTGGGAGCTTACTGTCCAGAAGTAAGATGATCAAATATCATCCTCAAACTGATAACATATATTACTATACTTGGTGTTTGCATGATGGTGCTTTGTGTTGGGAATTGGGTGTGCTTAGTATATCTGCAAAAGCTATGAGGCTTCCCATGGTTATTTCAGTACTGACTGATGACATTCATGATAACAGCTGCCATTCATATTATTTGTTTTAATCTGAATTCTGTCTTCTAGGTTTATGATTGTGCAGTTTCAGAAATCTTTGTTCAAAAATCATAACCACATTTCTTATCATTTATTACATTTCATTTTCAATAAAGTTCACCAATTATCAGTTATTTTTCTTACCTGATTTAGCAGACTGACTTCTAATTCAGTTTTTGTTTCAATTCTACATAATTGTATCTCTCACAATCTTGGGAGAGTTGAACTGTGTTGTGTCTAATAAGTTTTCACTTCATATTTGAAAAAGCATATTTCATTATATACATTATTTCATTTAATCAACCACAACATTCTACTTTTCCTCTCATTCATTTTTTCATTTATACCCATAGTCTTTCTTATTACTTCCTAACCTGTGTTCCTTTTTTGCTTTATAGCCCTTGCACAAGCCATATTATCGATGCACACTTCCCCTCTTCACTTACCTAGCGCTCACTCATTTTTAAATTTTTCACCCGAGGATAAATATCCATTGATTTTTAGAGAGTGTGAAAGTGAGAGGGAGAGACAGAGAGAGAAACATTGATGTGAGAGAGTCACATTGATTGGTTGCCTCCCGCATGCACCCCAACTGGGGCCAGAGATTGAGCCTGCAACCAAAGTATGTGCCCTTGGCCAGAATCCAACCCAGGACCCTTCAGTCCACAAGCCAACACTCTATCCACTGAGCCAAATCTGCCAGGGCTAATTTTTCAATTGTCAATTTCAATAACATTTTCTTAGAAAGGCTTTGTTTAACTGCCAACTGGGATAATCCTCCTTGTTATAAGCATTGCTAGAAATCCACATCTGTGTGCAATACTCACTACAGATGGCCCTAAAATCTGAGGAGTGTTATACATTTCTTTTCTGTTAGGGAGGAGGAATGGATAATCCTTTTAAAGTAGTAGGAGTTGGTGAAATATGCAAAATAGAACATGAAAGTGGTATTCCATTTATTATTGGTTAGCTACCTTGCGCTATATATGGAAGACAATGTTTAACCACAGGTATAAATTAAAATGAAAGGATCCCCAAGAAGGAGCCCTAGATGTTGTACCTCCATTGACTGCAACAGGAAGTAACTGCTGAACACCGCTTACTCAGAATAAGATTGTCCCTTCTCCCATGAACAGTGGCTCTAGAACACTGCTGCTAGCCAAATCCCTAACTTCCTGACTCCCAGCACTCACAGCCTTGCTGCCACTTTTGGTTTTAAAACCACCAACTCTAATCTCAGATGTTCAAGCACTATAAGAAGGCCTGGGCTCCCGAGGCATCTTCCATCCTCACATTGTAATGTCTATCCATGTTCATCTCTCACTCATTCTGAATATCCCAAACTTAGTCCTTTTAAGTTCATTTGTCTCTGACCATTTCCTTGGTGATCTGTCCAGTCCTCTGGCTTTAAATACTGTCTCTCTGCTGATGTCTTCTAAGTGTTCTCCAGCCTGAATCTCTCTCCTGTTTTGTGGACTTGAGTGTCTTACTGCCCACTTGACAACTCTATTTGCGTAGGCATCTCAAGCTTAGCAAGTTCAACTCTGACCTCTTACTCTCCCTCAAAACCTGCTCTTCATGTAGCATTCCATAAGTTAATGACAGTGCAGTCCTTCCTGGGAGTCATCTGTCTTTTCTTTCATATCCCATGTTTAATCTATCAAGAAATTCCGCTGGCTCTACCTTCTCTGCTAAAAATCCTCCAAAGATCTTTTATCCCAGTCAGAATAAAAGGTGAAGCCCTAAGGGGGGAAAAAAAAAAAGGAGTCCTTAGTCCTTTCCATTATTTGTATTTCTTAACCCATTACTTCTCTAACCTAATTTCATAGACCTCTTCTTTTTCTGTCAGTCAGCTCCAGCCACACTGTCCTTAATGTTCCTTGAAACTACCAGGCATGCTACCACTCCAGGGTCATTGTTCCCACTGTTCTAATGCCTATAAGCTCTTATTGAGATAATCCCTCTCACTTTTCAGTAAGGCCTTTTCTCACTATCCTATTATTTATTTGTTTGTTTGCTTATTTTAAGTTTCAAAGTGAGGAAAGGAGAGGGGGGATAGAAACATCAATGATGAGAGATCATTGATTGGCTATCTTCTACATGGCCCTTACTGGGGATCAAGTCTGCAATCAGGACACTTGCCCTGACTGGGAATCACATCCTGACCTCCTGATTCATGGGTTGATGCTGAACCACTGAGCAACACTGGCTGGGCTGACTATCCTATTTCAAGTGGCCAGTCCTCCTGGTCCTACTTATTTTTCTATTTAATACTTATTAATATCTAAAATTTTATATATCTTATTTATTGTTTTTGTTTTTTCCCCTTACACAAGAATTTAAATTCTATCTATGAAGAAAGGGATTTATTAAATAAATGAAGTACTGACAGTACCTGGTACATATCACATGCTCAATAAGTATTTGCTAAATGAATGAGCCAAGATTCATAGTTAATATGTAGACACATAAAACTGGAAAGTGGGTGCTAGCTACTGGACACAAGTGAACTCCAGCTAACTATTGAGATAAATATTTGTATTTTTTCTAAATATCTCCAGGAAAGGATATTGCCCCTTTCCCCCTGTTTCTTCATCAGTTAGCTATGTTCCCTTCTTCGTTCTATTTCTGTTTCTTCACCCATGCTTTTCTCTTTATCCAAAGTGTTCTTCCTATTTACCTGACTTCAAAGCCACTTCAAATGATCCACTTTAGAGAATTCCCTAGAATTCTCCGTGTCCCATTGTCACTCTTTCTTCCCTGTTTTCCCAGATTTCTGTATACATGTAACATGGATAGCTGATTAGTATGAACTCCCTCCATCTCACTGTATCTTTCATTCTTCATTGTGTCCATGGTGTGGTGGTTTGCTTTCATAGATTTCCATGCCTCTGTGATGGACCCTCCTCTCTGAAGTTCTTGTGACTTGATAAATATTTATAGAATTAAATCATTAAAACTTCTTTTATTGGATACCTGACCTATGTGACACTGCAGTTATAAGTGAACCAAAAAAATTTGTAATTGTGTTAACAGTTACTCTCAGTACAATCCCATGAATAAGACAAACCCTCCAAATCCATCCCTGCTTTTATGGTTTACTAATTAATGTACTGAGCAAATATTTATTGAATACTTGCCATGAGGAAGGCCCTATGCTAATAAGCCTTACACATTATGCACAAGTTGTATGTCTGTTCCTCAAGACTCACTTAACTTGTCCTACATAAGCCCTTCCACTTCAATCAAAAGGCTAAATCAGCTGTCATTTTTAACATGTGATCTCAGAGAGGAAGTTGAAAGATGTGATATGTTAATTCAGAGATGGATTAGATATAACAACTCCTCACATATCCCTCCTGCACAATAATTTCTAGAACTGTATTCTTTTTTTTAAATTTCTTTATTGATTAAAGTATCACATATTTGTCTTCAACCCCCTCTCCCATTCCAATCTCCTACCCCTCCCCACTCATGCCCTCCCCTTTCCCCCCCCATTGTCCTTGACCACTGGTTAGGCTTATATGTATGCACACGACTCCTTTGGTTGATCTCTCCCTTTTATCCCCACCCTCCCTCTGAGGTCCAACCGTCTGACCCATGGCTC